GGGGTCCGAGTCGCCCCCATGCAGATGTCGCCGGGCTAGGGGCGAAGCCGCAGCCCCCCGCCTCTTCGGCTCGGGGAGGGGAGCATCACCTACGCCCCTACTTCCCCCGCGGCCCCCGCCCTGGGAGCCGGGAGGGAGTATGGGCGGGGCCGGGGGCGTCTCGGGACACAGGAGCGCGGTGGCGCCCAGTGGATTTGCTTCTTCCTTTCTCAGTCACTTTCCATAGCTTTTCGGAGGATTCCTTCACCCCTCCCCAATCCTTCCCTCTCCCTAGGGTCTAGCTACAGTCACCTTTGGGACACCTTCCTCGACCCCTCCTACCCTACTCCTGGCAGAATTAACTTTTCTTTCTCCGGACTGCTCAATTCTATATTGGAGTCTTCCCTACATTTAGATCTTTGAGGTCTTGTTCATGTTTTTTCCCCTGCACCAGGTCCGCGAGCCTCCCGAGGGAGGAGACCTTGGCTCGCCCACTGTAGGGCCTGACACTTTGGAAGTGAAGTAGGAAACCCGTTGTGCCCCTAAACAGGGAAGTCGTCACGAGTTTTTATTACGGGATGTTTGGGTTTGGTTTCTTTTGGTACTCCCATCTTTCCGGAGCAGGCAGCCAGCTTTGTTTTTAGGTATTAGGAGTGGACTGGAATGATTTTGTTGTGGTCTGCCTAGCCTGCTGTCACTTTAACTCTTCAGTGACCATGCACTTGAAGATACTGTTTGTGACATGTGGAGAAACTCCTCGTTTCTCACATGCTATTATCCATCCATTTGTATGTGAGTGAAGCCTTCCCCAGGACAACTTTGGCACATGATATCTTGTTTCATAATAGTATCATGTTTGGAAAGAGTTGCTGGTAAGGCTATTATTTAATAGGAGGAGCAAAGGGTTTTTGTTTTATTAAATGCTTATAAATGATCGTTTATCCCAGACATTTAAAATTCACACACACACACAACAAATAAAGCAAAGACAAAAGAATACATTTACCAGATGTAAATCTGTAGTATAAATCTTTTTTTAATTTTTATTTTAAAGATGGCATCTCATTCTGTCACCCAGGCAGGTGTGCAGTGGAGAGATCATGGCTCACTGCAGCCTTGACTCCCTAGGCACAAGCGATCCTCCCTCCTCTGCCTCCAGAGTAGCTGGGACTACAGGTGTATATCGCCAGGGCCAGCTAATGTTTTTGGAGAGACAGGGGTCTCGCTGTGTTGCCCAGGCTGGTCTAGAACTCCTGGACTCAGGTGATTCTCCCACCTCAGCCTCTCGAAGTGCTGTGATTACAGGCGTGAGCCACTGTGCCTGGAACAAATTGTTAAGTACAATGCTTTTCATTGTAGAAAATATCTCGGAAACTTTTGAAATAGGCAGATTTACAGTGGGGGAGGAAAGCCTCAGTCGTATAGTTGTCACTGATTTTTTGACTTGATTGACATGATTTATAAATCATAGACAATAGAGATTTAGTTGCTTGGCTGAGTAAAGTGTGTGAAAAATACACATGTACTTTCTTAAAAACATTTTTTTTTTGAGATCGAGTTTTGCTCTTGTCACCCAGGCTAGAGTGGGATTCCAGACCAGCCTGGCCAACATGGTGAAACCACGTCTCTGAGATTACAGGTGCCCACCACCACGCCCAGCTAATTTTTGTATTTTTAGTAGAGACAGGGTTTCACCCTGTTGGCCAGGCTGGTCTCCAACTCCTGACCTCAGGCGATCCACTCGCCTCGGCCTCCCAAAGTGCCGGGATTACAGGCGTGAGCCACTGCACCCGGCCATATTTTTGTTATTAATTTTCAAAGGCTTTGGTGTGGGACCAGATTTCAACATGGAAGGCCTTAAACATGTTCCACACTACTTCCTGAGAATCAGACAAGATTTTTAACAATATTGATTGTTACCTAGTTGGGACGCATTTCTACTGAACCATGGGATCAATAAAAGCTGGGTGCTAGCCTAGCGAAAATCTACTTACCCGAAAGAAGTCCCTCTTAGTCCGGGTGCGGTGGCTCACACCAGCGCTTTGGGAGGCCCAGGTGGGTGGATCACAAGGTCAGGAGTTTGAGACCAGCCTGGCCAACATGGTGAAACCACGTCTCTACTAAAAATACAAAAAATTAGCCAGGTGTGGTGACAGGTGCCGGTAATCCCAGGTACTCGGGAGGCTGAGGCAGGAGAATAGCTTGAACCCAAGAGGCAGAGGTTGCAGTGAGCTGAGACCGCGCCACTTCACTCCAGCCTGGGCAACAAAGCGAGACTCTGTCTAAAAAAAGAAAAGAAAAGAAAAAAAAAAAGAGTCCCTCTGAATTATCAGCATGTGTATAGGCCTACAGATACTTCAGGAATGTATTTACCATTATCATTAATTTGTATGTACATAGCAAGTGAAGATTCAACAATTTAGTTTTTTGGGCATACTCAAGAGTATGCACCTATAACCATATGGCCCATTGTTAATCTCCTATACAGTCCATTCTAGGAATGTTTGGGCTTACTGTGCCATTTTTCAGTTCACCGCCTTCCCCTCTGCAATATACCTTTAACCCTTGCTAGGTGCTGGGTTTGGAGAGCCAGAGAACCAACTTTGGCCCTAGAGAAGCTGGGTAGGTGGGAATATCTGCCTACAAAGGGCCTTGCAACCACTTCCTCTTGGAACCTTGGTTTCCTCTTTCTGAGTTGTCACTTTGAGTACCCTTTATTAAGTTAGAATGTAAAAACAGTTTCGCACTGATACATCTACAGTACCTGAGATAGGGCCTGGCACAGAGTAAGTACTCAATAAATATTTGAATGGGGCTGAGCGTAGTGAGACCTGTCTCTACAAAGAATGAACAAAATTAGCCCGGGTGTGTTAGCACACGCCTGTAGTCATAGCTACTTGGGAGGCTGAGGTGGGAGGACTGCATGAGTCTGGGAGGTCGAGGCTGTAGTGAGCCAAGGTCACACCACTGCACTCCAGCCTGGGGTACAGAGCAAGATCCTGTCCCAAAAGAAAAAAATGTATATATTTGAATGGATAAAGAGAGGTCTTTGAGTTTCTGAGATATATATGATGCTGTTTATCTAAAGTAAACAACTTTTCTGTAAACATTTTACGGCTTTGCAGGCCAGCTGTAGTCTCTGTCACACATTCTTATGTGTGCATGTTTTTCCCAACCATCTAAAATTGTAAAGTGCATTCTTAGCTACCGGGGCAGGTTAAATTTGGCCCATGGGCTAGAGTTTGCCAACCCCTAACTTAAACCTTTGTACTAACTTTATGACCACTAACTACTGGATTTTTGTTGTTTGTTTTAGTTCTGGTGCCTGCTTTCTGTCTTTTTTTTTTTTAAATCACTTCTCTTTCTGATGTTTCTTGGTGCAGTCACTGTGCCATTTGTATTGGTGATTTTAATGTAATGCAAACTGGGAATAATAACTAAACTTGCTGGGGTTGTACATAAAGTTATTGAAAAGATGCTGAGTATTGACTCTGTGGCATTCATTATGCCCTTTTGTGGTTGCTGGATTTTAGCCATCTTTAGGATATTTGAGCTTTAGGAGAAGCCAAATTCTGTATAAATGACTTGAAGTGCTAATGGCACAGATTTTGAAACCTCTGCCTGGGTTTGAGTCTCAGCTCTGCCTTTTACTACTTGTGTGATCCTGAGCAAGTTACTTAGGATCCCTGTCCTCTGGTTTCCTCCTCTGTAGTGGTGGGGATAATAACATAGACATAACCTCAGAGTTAGAGTGTAGAGAAGGCTCCCTGGCAGATAGTGCTGTAGAAGTACTGGCCATTGCCATTACTCAGATGCTTGTGTTTTCTGATCCTCATAGTAAGGGCTCAGAGAGCACTAAGAGGAGGTGAGAATGCTGCTAGATTGACAGCTTGTCCCCATATAGCCCATTCCTGAGAGCATCTTAGCTTTATTCCTGATTTGTGTTGTAGTTAGTAGTGTCTGTGGTAATTTTAACTAGTTTCAGGTTGGTCTTGAAAACCTGGAAAGGTTAGGGGTAAATGATTTGGTAGCAGTTCCCTTGTGATTTTATAAATTATCTTTGTAGAACTGCAGTGTGCTAATTCTCTGAGCCTAACACAATGAAGTCTGGGCCTAAAATCATAGGATTTCTTTTATTTTTTAAAATTTTTAATTCATTTCTTTTCTTTTCTTTTCTTTTTTTTTGAGGCGGAGTCTTGCTCTGTCACCAGGCTGGAGTGCAGTGGCATGAAGTCAGCTCACTGCAACCTCCGTCTCCTGGGTTTAAGCGATTCTCCTCTCAGCCTCCCGAGTAGCTGGGTCTATAGGCGTGTGCCACCATACCCAGCTGATTTTTGTATTTTTAGTAGAGACAAGGTTTCTCCATGTTGGCCAGGATGGTCTCGATCTCTTGACTTCGTGATCCACCTGCCTTAGCCTCCCAAAGTGCTGGGATTATAAGCGTGAGCTACCGTGCCCGGCCTATTTTTTATTTTTTTGAGGCGGAGTGTCGCTCCGTCACCCAGGCTGGAGTGCAGTAGTGCAATCTCAGCTCACTGCAACCTCTGCCTCCTGGGTTCAGGTGATTCTCCTGCCTTAGCCTCCCGAGTACCTGGGACTACAGGCGCCTGCCATCACACCTGGCTAATTTTTGTATTTTTAGAAGAGACAGGGTTTCACCATGTTGGCCAGGCGGGTCTAGAACTCCTGATCTCAAGTGACCTACCTGCCTCGGCCTCCCGAAGTGCTGGGATTACGGGCATGAGCCACCATCCCCAGCCAAATCATGAGATTTCAATACTGCTGAACTTTGATTATGGCAAAGTGAACTACTGCTTTGATTAAAGCTTGTGAGAGAGGTGGCTGGGGATAGTTTGAGATAAGGGCAAGGCAGGAAAATGCATAATCTTAGGTGGGCTCATTGTCATTGTACAATTCTTTTGGTCTGTGTGGCATTTGATCCGTCCTATGACTTAAGTTATGTTTATTTTTGTTTTTATTTTTATTTATTTTATTTCTTTTTGAGAGACATGGTATTGCTCTGTCACCCAGGCCAGAATACAGTGGCACAATCATAGCTCCATGTAGCCTTGAACTCCTGGGCTCAAGTGATCCTCCCACTCAGCCTCTCAAACAGTTGAGATTACGGTATAAACCACTGTGCCTAGCCTTAAGTCATTTTTAAATTTGTACTGAACAGTTTGTCCTTTCCTTCCATTAAATCATATTAGAAGTACAGAACTTGATATTTCCTGTAGCAATACAGTATATCTTTGATGAAGTTTGATTTCAAGTACTTATTTTTCATAATTTAAAGCTATTTTTTATAGAGATAACTTTAATCAAATATTTGGATGTCGCTATTGCTATATGTGATATTAAGTATGGTGACCATAGTTTATAAACTCCAAACTGACAGCAGGACAGGAAATTTGTGTTAGCAAAGGCTTTTTTCTTACTGTTTGAATTTTTTAAAAATTAGGTACCATACAGAGAGGAGCACACAAATCGTTAAGAGTACGGCTCAGTGAATTCTCACAAAATGAACATGTGTAAACAGCAAGTAACAGAAGATTTACCTGCATCCTATAACCTCCCATTATTCCCTTTTCTAGGTACTCTCTCTCCACTGCACTCCCACCAAAAATAACCACTATGCTGAATTCTGATATCATAAATGAGTTTTGCCTAGTTTTGAGCTTTTGTGACTGGAATCGTACAGTGTGTATACCCTTTTGACTCTGTCCTCTTTAGTTTACCATTGTTTGAGAGATTTATCCATACTGTTCCAGGTCGTTGTAGTTAATTCATTCACATTGTTATGTAGTAGTCCTTTGTGAGTAAACACAATTTCCATTCTGCTGTGATCCCAGCTATCCATTTGGGTCGTTTCCAGTTTAGGGACCATTACAAATAGTAATGCTATCTGTAATGCTATTTTGTATTACTACAAATAGTAATGCTATTTGTAGCACAAAAATAGTGCTTTTGTGAACATTCTTATACATATCTTTTGATGAATATATGTTTGCATTTCTGTTGTTTACATTATGTACCTACTAATGGAATTGCTAGATCATAGGAGATGTACATATTAAGCTTTAGTAGATGCATTACATAATTATTAGTTATTATTGGTTATACCAATTTACTCTCTTACCAGTAGTATACAACAGTTTCTATATCTCTGATCTCCAACATTTTAGCCATTTTAGAGTTTGTGTAATAACACATTGTGGTTTTAATTTACATTTCCCTGATGACTAATGAAGTTGAGTACCTTTTTTGTGTTCTTTATAGCCATTTGACTGTCTTGTGAAGTGCTTGTTTGTCTTGCCTTTTCTTTTCCCCCTCCCCTCCCCTCCCCTCCCCTCTTTTTGAGACAGGTTCTTGCCCTGTCATCCAGGCTGGAGTGCAGTGGTGCAATATCAGCTTACTATAGCCTCAACCTTTTTGGGGCTCCAGTTATCCTCCTATCTCAGCCTCCCAAGAAGCTGGACTACAAGCACACACCACCATGCTCAGTTAATTTTTTAATTTTTGTAGAAATGGGGTTTCACCATGTTGCCCAGGCTGGTCTCAAACTTCTGGACTCAAGTAATCCTCCTGCCTTGGCCTCCCAAAATGCTGGGATTACAGGCATGAGCCACCGCAGCCAGCCTTGGCTGTTTTTCAATAGGTTATAAGTAGAACATCTGTATATCCCTTCAATTTGCATATCATTCAGTAAGACTTGCACTCTGGTAGTAGAAATATAGAAGAAGGAGAAAGAAGTGGAAACAAAAAGTCTATTTTCTTTTTTTTTTTTTTTTTTTTGAGACGGAGTCTTGCTCTGTCGCCCAGGCTGGAGTGCAGTGGCCGGATCTCAGCTCACTGCAAGCTCCGCCTCCCGGGTTCACGCCATTCTCCTGCCTCAGCCTCCCGAGTAGCTGGGACTACAGGCGCCTGCCACCTCGCCCGGCTAGTTTTTTGTATTTTTAGTAGAGATGGGGTTTCACCGTGTTAGCCAGGGTGGTCTCGATCTCCTGACCTCGTGATCCGCCCATCTCGGCCTCCCAAAGTGCTGGGATTACAGGCTTGAGCCACCGCGCCCGGCCCTTAAAAAGTCTATTTTCATGAGAAGGCTAGTGTTCTCTCTGGCTCCAAGCTACTTATTCCTTACCAAAAGATGAGGATAAACTTATCTCAGACTCAGGCTGTCTCAATGCTGTCTTCCTATTCCATTATACACATATAACCCATATTTTTTTCACCAGCTGAATTTTGTTCCTAGAAAATTGATTTATCAGGAAAGAATTCCGTCTTGCAAGGTGGTTCTCTTTAGAGTCTACTGTGTAACATAGCTCAGGACAAATTGCGTGATGTCAGATAAGTTGGGTTAAGGAATAGACCTTATTGGGGAAAGAGAGAACTTGGAGGGCCAAGGTTAGCAGGAGAAGGAAATGTTCTCTCATCTGCTATCATTTCAGGAAGGGGCAAACCTGGTGTCTGTGTTCACAGGGAGGGATCCATCTATACGTGATTCTCCCTTCTTACCAGGTAGCATGGGAAAGCTACTGCTGTGGGGAGGAGGATTACACACAGGTTACTCGGTACCAGGCACCCTGGACTTGGATTCAGGCTGCCAGTTGTGTGAGAAACTGCCCAGCACTTGAAGGTTCTGAACCCATGGGAGGTTGTACCTACCTCCCATAAGGAGGAAGCCTGTCGTCCCATGGGAGCTGAGCTTGGGTGCAGTCCCTCTTGCTGGCTTGTCCAGGAGTGAGCTCCAGGGTTGTTTGGGACAGTTCTGCTCATTGCATTACACTGTGTGTACATTATCTGTAGAGTTCCATGAAGAGAACTTCAGCTCTGTAACTGCAAGTTTTAACATGGAACAGAATTTTTCTCACCTGTATTGATTCTTAAGATTTGAAATTCTGTCAACAAGCATTTAAATTGTGTGGAGTTTTTTTTTTTTTTTTTGAGACAGAAGGCTGGAGTGGCAGTGGCATAGTCTTGGCTCACTGCAGTCTGTACTTCCCAGGTTCAAGCGATTCTCATGCCTCGGAGTCCCGATTAGCTAGGTGTACGGGTGCACACCATCATACTGGCTAATTTTTGTATTTTTAGTAGAGACGGGGTTTCGCCACATTGGTCAGGCTCGTCTCGAACTCCTGGCCTCAAGCAATCCACCCGCCTTGACCTCCCAAACTGCTGGGATTACAGGTGTGAGCCACCATGCTTGACCGGCATTATGTTAAAAGAATAAATGTTCTAGGCAGCTGGGCACAGTGGCATGTTTCTGTAGTCCTAGCTGCTCGGGAGGCTGAGGTAAGAAGATCCCTTGGGCCCTGGAGTTCAAGTCCAGCCTGGGCAACATAGTCATATCTCATTTTTTAAATAAATAAATAACTGTTCTAGAGACTAAAATTTCCTTTCACCATTAGTAATTTACTGTGGAATCTCCAAGAATGAACTTATTTTAGGTACTGAAAATGAGGGAGACTAAATGTTTTATACAGTGGTTTTTAGTAAAGTATGAGATTTGATGCATTTGATAGATGATAATGTTTTTTGTTTTTTGTTTTTTGTTTTTTTTTGAGACAGAGTCTCGCTCTGTTGCCCAGGCTGGAGTGCAGTGGTGTGATCTTGGCTCACTGCAGGCTCCGCCTCCCGGGTTCATGCCATTCTCCTGCCTCAGCCTCCCGAGTAGCTGGTACTACAGGTGCCCGCCACCACGCCCGGCTAATTTTTTGTATTTTTTAGTAGAGATGGGGTTTCACTGTGTTAGCCACGATGGTCTCGATCTCTTGACCTCGTGATCCGCCTGCCTCGGCCTCCCAGAGTGCTGGGATTACAGGTGTGAGCCACTGCACCTGACCGATAATGTTTGTTTAAAATAATTCTTAAATTTTTGATCATGTAATTGTAGTTTCATTAATAGTAGATTTGTAAAATAAATGTTAACAAATGAAAATGCATGTACCTATGTTAATTATACTTATCTAAAGCTGAAAGTTCAGTTCAACTATGTTAAAAAATAGTTGGAGCCGGGCACGGTGACTCACACCTGTAATCCGAGCACTTGGAGAAGCCTAGGCGGGTGGATCACGAGGTCAGGAGATTGAGACCATCCTGGCTAACACGGTGAAACCCCATCGCTACTAAAAATACAAAAAATTAGCCATACGTGGTGGCGGGCGCCTGTAGTCCCAGCTACTCAGGACGCTGAGGCAGTAGAATGGCGTGAACCCGGGAGGCAGAGCTTGCAGTAAGCTGAGATTGTGCCGCTGCACTCCAGCCTGGGTGACAGAGCCAAGACTCCGTCTCAAAAAAAAAAAAAAAAGTTGCCCAGGCGCGGTGGCTCACACCTGTAAGCCCAGCACTTTGGGAGACTGAGGCAGGCGGATCACGAGATCAGGAGTTCGAGACCATCCTGGCTAACATAGTGAAACCCTTATCTACTAAAAATACAAAAATTAGCCGGGCATGGTGGTGCATGCCTGTAGTCCCAGCTACTCAGGAGGCTGAGGCAGGAGAATTGCTTGAACCCAGGAGGCAGAGGTTGTGGTGAGCCGAGAGTGCTCCACTGTACTCCAGCCTGGACAACAGAGCAAGACTGTGTCTCAAAAAAGAAAGAAAAGTTAATGATTAAATTATTTAGGGGAAAATACTGTGCAATTCTGTTTAATAAGTCACATTTTAATTTTTTCTTTTGGAAATATTAGCAAGAAGGCTCACTTTGTGCTCAACATTGCCTGAATAATTTATTGCAAGGAGAATATTTTAGCCCTGTGGAATTATCCTCAATTGCACATCAGCTGGATGAGGAGGAGAGGATGAGAATGGCAGAAGGAGGAGTTACTAGTGAAGATTATCGCACGTTTTTACAGGTACTGATGTTAAACTCACTAAGTCACATTTCTTTCTTTCTTTTTGTTTTTTTTTTGAGACGGAGTCTTGCCCTGTTGTCCAGGCTGGAGTGCAATGGCGCGATCTCAGCTCACTGCAACCTCAGCCTCCTGGGTTCAAGCAATTCTCCTGCCTCAGCCTCCCAAGTAGCTGGGATTACAGGCACACGCCACTATGCCTGGCTAATTTTCTGTATCTTTGTTAGAGACGGGGTTTCACCATGTTGGTCAGGTTGGTCTGGAACTCCTGATCTCATGATCCACCTGCCTCGGCCTCCGAAAGTGCTGGGATTATAGGTGTGAGCCACCACACCCGGCTTACATTTCTTTTAAAAACGTGGATACTATTTAGAAAAGGATGTGCCATTCTTCGTATAGGGATCTGACTGGTGAATTATAACTGCACTGTTAACTTTGGAAATGGAAATGCAAAGATGTTATTTTAAATATGCACGCTAATGACAGTTTGTATCCTTCTTTCCCCACCCCCACGCGTGCTTCAACTACCTGTCAAAATTAACAGCAGCCTTCTGGAAATATGGATGACAGTGGTTTTTTCTCTATTCAGGTAAGTAGTCACAAGCATCTACTATGTGTTGCTTACATCCCAGGCCCCGTTTCACAGCCTTTCAATAGTCACTGTAACAAGGCGACCTTCAGAAGTTCTTCTAATAGATCATGTCTACAGAGTATAAGATTATACTCTAGATCACTAGATTGTGATCCACCTGCCTCAGCCTCCCAAAGTGCTGGGATTACAGGCATGAGCCACCATCCCCGGCCAACTAGAGTACTAGATTTTTATATAGATGAACATGAAAGGATTGTAGAATCTTCATATTAGAGTGGGGCATTTAAAAATTCCTTTTTGAGAAAGATTATTTAATTTGCATCTGGATGCTAATAATAACCTTAATTCTGGCCAGGCGTGGTGGCTCACACCTGTAATCCCAGCACTTTGGGAGGGCGAGGTGGGCGGATCTCAGGGTCAGGAGATCAAGACCATCCTGGCCAACATGGTGAAACCCTGTCTCTACTAAAAATACAAAAATTAGCTGGGCGTGGTGATGCAAGCCTGTAATCCCAGCTACTCTGGAGACTGAGGCAGGAGAATCGCTTGAACCGGGGAGTCAGAGGTTGCAGTGAGCCAAGATCGCACCACTGCACTCCAGCCTGGTGACAGAGCAAGACTCTGTCTCAAAGAAAACCAAATACCCTTAATTATAATAAGTCCCAATGTCTCAAACTTACCATCTGTTGGGTAAATTTAAGAAAATGCAGTACCTTGCTACCATCCTTTTAAATCAGCCTACCAGACTGGATTTCCTTATTATGGTCTGTGGCTTTTGATTTTTCTCTTTGAGTTCTTTGGTGGTTATATATATGTACTTGAAAGATTCTTTTATCTGCGTGTCTTTCATTCTTTTCTGACACTGTGAGTTGTATCCAGAGGTCTTTCAGAACCTCTCCTGAGCGACCTATCTCTGCAGATACCTTTGTTTGTATTTCCCTTGTACTTCCCTCCTGGACTCCTCCTCATCCACCAGCATTTCCATCTAGTGCTTTACCGTGCCACTGTTAACAGGTAATGGCTACTGCAGGGCTGGAATCAGAGGTCAGAGTAGGCCCAGCACTTGGCGTTTCCTATTTGTGCCTTGCTGCTCTTGGTACCCACTGCCTTGCACTCACTTTCTGTCTTTGCCGGTACCTGGTTGACTTGCTTCTTTGTTGGCTACCTTGGAGGGTAGATAGTGAATTTTCAGAAATTTCCCTTTTTTTGTCAGACAGATTGAAATAATCAGGTTTGCATTTTGTTTTTTTCTACAAGTGGCAAGCCCATGACCCTGGAAGTCTGATATCTATGGAAACTTCAGTTTAAGTGCCCAGGGAGAACTTATTTTGATAGACACGATTTCTGACATTGCAAGTAGTAAGTTGAATATACATTTTCTAAAGTAGCACCCACGGCAGCCAAATTATCAGATGTATATAGTAGACTAGTTTTAAGAATAGCACTTATGGGTAGAATATACATACATCTGGATTTTTGAGGCAGTTTTATGTAGGAATTGTGTGGTTTTCTGGAACATCTCAGAGACCTGGTATGAAAAGCACTCTTCTAATATATATGTGTATGTTTTTTATGGATTTAGTGATATATCTATACACACACACACTTTGGAAAACCTATAGCGGGCTAGGCGTGGTGACTCATGCCTGTAATCCCAGTACTTTGGGAGGCCGAGGCGGGCAGATCACAAGGTCAGGAGTTTGAGACCAGCCTGGCCAACAACAAGGTGAAACCCTGTCTCTACTAAAAATACAAAAATTAGCTGGGTGTGGTGGCGCATGCTTGTAATCCCAGCTACTCGGGAGCCTGAGGTAGGAGAATCACTTGAACTCAGGAGGCAGAGGTTGCAGTGAGCCAAGATCATGCCACTGTACTTCAGCCTAGGCAACAGAGCAAGACTCTCTGTCTTAAAAAAAAAAAAAAAAACAAAACAAAAAAAAACCTGTAGCCTTCTAGAGAAATTTATATATGAGGTACACAACTAACATAGCTATACTTCTTAAAATGTTTACACAACTGACATAGCTACACTTCTTCAATTTGGAATGGAGTGGTTTGGCTTATGAAAAGTTACTATTTTTCTTAACAGGTTATAAGCAATGCCTTGAAAGTTTGGGGTTTAGAACTAATCCTGTTCAACAGTCCAGAGTATCAGAGGCTCAGGATCGATCCTATGTAAGATTTTGTTTTGCATTTCATACATTTCTTTTCCCAAATTTCATTTTTAAAGATATTTCTTAAAGAAGAGAAATATATTTTGAATACTTGTGTTTTGATGTTCCCTGTTTCATTCCCTCAGACTTACCTATTTCACCTTTGTGATGTCCATGAGCATCTGCCCTGTAGCCTTCCTGGCACCCCAGTGTCTGTGGCAGCACAGAGCTGCCCCGTAAGTGGTGCGTGAGGCCATCTTTTGGCCCGGCATCACTAAGCTGCTGCAGAGACGTTCATATGGTTGTGTGATCTTTTAAAAACATCAGTGACACTTAACTGTAAATATAATCTTAAATTATCACAAAGTTTATATAATGTTTGCCAGTAGACAATGTAAATATGAATTCAATATTTCAAGTTAATATTGTGTGTTTTCTTTTTTAGAAATGAAAGATCATTTATATGCAATTATAAGGAACACTGGTTTACAGTTAGAAAATTAGGAAAACAGGTAACATTTCTTACCCTTCCTTGTCTTTTTTTCTTATATTGTGCCCCATTTAAAACTAAAATGTGGGCCAGATGTGGTGGCTCATGCCTGTAATCCCAACAGTTTGAGAGGCTTAGGTTGGGGGATCACTTGAAGCCAGAACTTTGAAACTAGCCTGGGCAACAAAGGGAGGTCCTGTCTCAAAAAAAAAAAAAAAGCCAGGTATGGTGGCTCACATCTGTAATTCCAGCTTTCTTGGAAGGCTGAGGCAGGAGGATCACTTGAGCTCAGGAGTGTGAGGCTGCAGTGAACTATGATTGTGCCACTGTACCCCAGCCTGGGTGACAGAGTAAGACTCTGTTTTATAAAACATAAAAAGAAAAAAAAATTTAAAAATTAAAAAGAAAAAACAAAAGGATTGCTGACTTTAAAATTAGGAAACTGACCAGTAATGTGTGTGTTTGTGGCATGGTTATCTATCTTGATAGATAGAAATTTGTCATTTTAAAACATATCAGTTTTCCTTGTAAATTTATTTGTGACAAGTATATGCAATTTAACTATATCATAAGAAAAATTCTGTATTAAATATAATACAAATGTGGTTACTTTGAAGTGGTAAAAGTTTTTATGTGATAACTCTGTTCTGTCAGTTAATTACTACATTTGTAGATTTGTATTTAGCATAGTGCTGTCACGAAGCCTGAAATAGTGTCAAGCATGAATAAAGCATTCAGTTATGCTTGCTTTAGTGTAAGATTATTCATATGATTCCAAAAGCCATGTAATACATACGTCTACATAAAATCACTTCTATTTGTTAAATAAAACATGAAATATGTCTTGAGCAAGCTATTTTAAGAAACAGAATCATTTAACATCCTTTTTATTAGAATTTTGAATCTTTGAAAGAGGGTTCTTGAAAACCAGCTAGCACAGTAAAAAAGAATAAACTAGTGATACATGCAGCAACATGGATGAATCTCAAAATAATTATGCTGAAAGAATAACCCAGAAACAGAATACTACATGCTGTATGGTATCATTTATTAAAAGTCTAGAAAAGTGCAGATTCATCTGTAGTGATGAAAAGCAGATCCACCAGTGGTTGCCTGGGGATGGAAAGGCTAGGGAAGAGTGAGAGGGGAGGTTCATAGAGAGGCATGGGAAACGTGGCAGTGATTAATGTGTCCCAGTGTTGGTTGTAGTAATGGTTTCATGGGAGTACAGTATACAAATGTCAAAACATTTCAAAGGCCAGGTGCAGTGGCTCATGTCTGTAATCCCAGCACTTTTGGATGCCATGGCAGGAGGATCGCTTGAGCTCAAGGAGTTCAGGACCAGCCTGGGCAATGTCACATGACCCCAACTCTACAAAAAAATGAAAAAAAAAAAAAGAAAAATTGGCTAGGCGTGGTGATACATGCATGTAGTCCTAGGTGCTAGGGAGGCTGAGGAGGGAGCCCAGAGGTCAAGCCTGCAGTGAGTCATGATCGCACCACTGCACTCCAGCTTGGGTGACAGAAGGAGATCCTGTCTCAAAAAAAAAAAAAGTTTCAAATTGTACACTTTAAATATGTGAAGTTTATTGTATATCACTTATACCCCAATAAAGCTGTTTGTTTTTTAAAAAAAGTAAATAAAAGCCAAAAAAGATATGTCAAGAAAGTATATTGAATTAAATCTATAAGAGATAATTCAAAAACAAAAAAAAACCCTATTGTTCTTTTAAGTCACCCAAATCAAATTTGGGAAAAGTCACCTACTTAGCTTCATCCTAAGTTGGTTCGTTCGTTCTTTCTCTCTTTCTCTCTTTCTGATGGATTCTTGCTCTGTCACCCAGGCTGGAGTGCAGTGGCGGGATCTCGGCTCACTGCAGTCTCCGCCACCCGGGTTCAAGCAATTTTCCTGTCTCAGCCTCCCGGGTAGCTGGGACTACAGGTGTGCACCACCACACCCAGCTAATTTTTGTATTTTTAGCAGAGATGGGGTTTCTCCATGTTGGTCAGGCTGGTCTTGAACTCCTGACCTCAGGTGATCCGTCCATCTCTGCCTCTCAAATACAGGGAATACAGGTGTGAGCCACCATGCCCAGCCCTAAGTTGGTTCTTTCTTAAAGTTCTTCGTGAGGAGCCAAGAGCAAGTTAAGGAGGTGTAATCTAGAAGCTTACAGTGGGGGCTAGCTGGGTGCAGTGGTTCACGCCTGTAATCCCAGCACTTTGGGAGGCTGAGGCAGGGAGATCACTGAGGCCAGGAGCTTGAGACCGGCTTGGACCAACACAGTGAAACCTTGTCTCTACCGAAAAAAAATTTAAAAAGTGCAACTTACAGCAGTAGAGGCTGACGCGAGTGGGAATCACCTCTAGGTAAAAACCAGGGTAGGGTACTGCTGAGATTATTTAACCTCTGGGTTTTATTTACGTGTTTTTAAAAATTATGATCCAGTATTTTTTTACTTTTTTTGTATAAATTAAGCACTGAATTTTTAAGGTCTGTAGACTTAGATTTCAGAAGTACCCTCGTATTAATTTGCAAATAAATATCTATCTTATTATTTTGAGAGATTTAAAAAATTTTAGTTCTTCAAAATTGAATTTTCACATTTTGAATTACATTATCTTTGACAAATACAGAAGATGTTGGCTGGGCGCTGTGGCTCATGCCTGTAATCCCAGCACTTTGGGAGGCTGAGGTGGGTGGATCACCTGAGGTCAGGAGTTCAAGATCAGCTTTGCCAACGTGGTGAAACCCCGTCTCTACTAAAAATACAAAATTAGCTGGGTGTGGTCGCGCATGCCTGTAATCCCAGCTACTTGGAAGGCTGAGGCAGGAGAATTGCTTGAATCTGGGAGGTGGAGGTTTTAGTGAGCCAAGATCACGCCATTACACTCCAGCCTGAGCAATAAGAGTGAAACTCTATCTTTAAAAAACAAAAAAGAACAAAAAAAAAACAAATACAGAAGATGTCAAATTTTGGTTTATTTTATTTTCTTTGGTTCTAATTTATATTTTTGTTTAAAACTATATTTTTCACTATAGACTCTGTCTGAGGTCCCTGTATAATAAAAAAGAAGGCTGGAAAAAGTATTAACATTGTCAAAATCCAGGAAAATAGTTGGTCATGATATTAACAGTAACTTTAAACACTTTTTGTATCTTGTGGGTTAAATTAGGATTACTATGTGGTAGTGATAAATGATGTTAATTAGGGCCGAGTGCAGTGGTTAACACCTGTAATTCCAGCACGTAGGGAGACTGAGGTGGGAGGATGTCTTGAGGCCAGGAGTTTGAGACCAGCCTGTACAACATAGTGTGAGACCCCCATTTCTACAAAAAAAATTAGAAAATTCGTCAAGCATCTTGGTGCACACCTGTAGTCCCAGCTATTTGGGAGGATGAAGCGAGAGAATCACTTAAGCCCAGGTGTTCAAGGCTGCAGTGAGTTATGATTGCACCACTGCACTCCAGCCTAGATGACCATCTCTTTAAAAAAAAAAAGTGTTTATATGTTATATGTGATAGTGTTTTTTAAAAACATTTTTAAATTATAGAGGGTCTCACTATGTTGCCCAGGCTGGTCTCAAATTCCTGGGCTCAAGTAGTCCTCCCACGTTAGCTTCCCAAAGTGCTCGGATTATAGGCATGAGCTGCCATGCCCACCTAATTTAGTGAGTTTTAAAAACTGAGTTGGTAATTATAAATTATCTTCCTGGAACTTCTGACTTTCTCACAATTGGAATCTTTTGACAAAAATTATCGGTAATGGGAAAACTTTGTATAGTTGTCATTTTTCCTCCCATCAGTATGATAGATGCGATTAGAGTTATGTTGGACTGATACTTTGAAAAAAGATTTAACTATAGCTATTAATAAAGACATTTCAACTACGGACTATCCATTTTTATTCTTTTGGGAGGGTTTAATGTTTATAGTTTAAAGCAAAGTGTTGTTTTTAAAAAACTATTTAACAGGGCCGGGCGCCGTGGCTCATGCCTGTAATCCCAGCACTCTGGGAGGCCAAGGCGGGTGGATCACAAGGTCAGGAGATCAAGACCATCCTGGCTAACACGGTGAAACCCCATCTCTACTAAAAATACAAAAAATAGCCACGTGTGCCGGGTGCCCGTGGTTATCTCCTAGCTACTCGGGAGGCTGAGCAGGGAGGGATGCGTGAGCCTGGAGGTGGAGCTTGAGTGAGCTGAGATTTGCGCCATCCGTATCCTCCAGCCTGGGCAACAGAGCGAGACTCTGTCTCCAAAAAAAAAAAAAAAAAAAAAAAAGTATTTAACAGAGGCCGGGTGCAGTGGCTCATGTTAATCCCAGAACTTTGGGACTGGGAGGTGGGAACACTGAGGTCAGAGTTTGAGACCAGCCTGGTCAATGTGGCAAATGTGCTGTCTCTAACTAAATACTAAAAATTAGCTGGTGTGGTGGCGCGGGCCTAACAGTTCCAGCCTTCTTGGAGGCTGAGGCCAGGAGAATTGCTTGAAGCTGAGAGATGGAGGTTGCAATGATCTGAGTCATGCCACTGCACTCCAGCCTGGGTGACAGAGTGAGACTCTTCTCAAAAAAAAAAAAAAAAAGTAATAGTGATAACTGCAGTATTCTCTTTAAGATATTATTCAGTCAGAGGAAAGACTCAACTTGAAATATTTCCAGAGTTTACAACAATCTTACTAGCTTTGAGGGTTATATCTTTCTTAACATGTGAAACTACTTTATTACCTATAATATGCACTAACTTAAATATTGACAATTTTTTTCCAGTGGTTTAACTTGAATTCTCTCTTGACGGGTCCAGAGTTAATATCAGATACATATCTTGCACTTTTCTTGGCTCAATTACAACAGGAAGGTAAGTAAAGGCTGAAAATTTTGTAACGTTATCTTTCGAAGTAGTTAAATAAACCGGAGCATTAGATGACAGTGTGACAATACTGTTTTTCTGGCAGTGGCAGTGAAACAATCTTTAGGTTTGACGTGGTGATAGGCTGTGATTTGGGTGACGCTGTTCCATTAGAGTTCTCACTGGCACCTGGCCCTCCCTCTTCTGAGGATGCTGCTTTCTTTTTTTTTTTTTTTTTTTTTTTTTGAGACGGAGTCTCGCTCTGTCGCCCAGGCTGGAGTGGCAGTGGCGCGATCTCGGCTCACTGCAAGCTCTGCTTCTCGGGTTCATGCCATTCTCTGCCTCAGGCCTCCTGAGTAGCTGGGACTACAGGCACCCGCCACCGTGCCCGGCTAATTTTTTGTTTTTTAGTAGAGACGGGGTTTCACTGGTGTCCTGATCTCCTGACCTTGTGATCCACCCGCCTCGGCCTCCCAAAGTGCTGGGATTACAGGCGTGAGCCACCGCGCCCGGCCGAGGATGCTGCTTTCTTTGCAGCCCTTCTAAGTAATGGTTTTTTCTTTTATACATCACATACCACACGGCTGAGAGGAGGGATAGATATTTTTCTTTTTTGCCTCTTCTAGGCCACTGTTCTTCCCTATAAACTCCAGTTTCTTTGAAATACGTGCCCCTAAGGGCTGGTTGTGGTGGCTTTCGCCTGTAATCCCAGCACTTTGGGAGGCCGAGGCGGGTAGATCACGAGGTCAGGAGATCAAGACCATCCTGGCTAACGGGGAAACCCCGTGTTTACTAAAATAACAAAAAATTAGCCGGTTGTGGTGGTGGACACCTGTAGTCTCAGCTATTTGGGAGACTGAGGCAGGAGAATAGTGTGAACCCGGGAGGTGGATCTTGCAGTGAGCTGAGATTGCTCCACTGCCCTCCAGCCTGGGCGACAGAGTGAGACTCCGTCTCAAAGACAAAAGAAATACACGCCCCTAGATTAAACTATCCCTTGCCCTTTTGCACTCATCCAAAAGTCTCTTTTCATCAGTGATTTTAGGATCTGACTCATTGTGTTTTTCTCTACTTCAACTCCTTTTATCATTCTTAATGATTTCTGTATTGCTAATCAATCCAGTAATCCAGTACCTGCTTCTTAGTTTCAAAATCACTCACTCTTGCTTAGCTATTACCAATAATCATAACCACTGTCAAATCTCAATTGCAAGCGTATTACTCTTTAACTGCCACCTCCTATCCTTAAACCATGTTTTATCTGTTTTTTTTTATTCCAGCCATTCTTTAAACCCTACCGTGGGGCCCAAGCATTTCCTTTATATGCATTCTTCCTTTCTTCTACTGCTTATTTTCTGTAATTCATTGTTATAATCACTCCATTGCATTCTTCAGCTTGTTTCCCCCTTCTCTCCCTCCATCATACTTGAATGACAAAAATCTCAACCCTGGTTAAAACCAAATCTTGGCCTTGTCCATTCCTGTACCAGAGTAGCAGGATATGGCTAAAAAATAACATAAAACATGATGATTGGTTTTACTTTTTTCTTAAACGATCTGTCCATCCATTCACCCATCCATCCATCTATCAAAGTGACTAGGCCTCTCTGAAGCCCAGGCTGGAGTGCAGCGACATGATCACAGCTCATTGTAGCCCCGCACTCCTGGGCTCAAGTGATCCTCTTGCCTCAGGCTGTTGAGTAGCTGGGACTACAGGCTTGTGCTACCACACCTAGCTAAGGTTTTACTTTAAATTTATTATAATCACAAAATTCAGATGAGCCTTTAGTGCTGCCTGATATTTCTACTATGTTTTCTTAGTAAATCCCTGTATCACTCTCCAAGATGTTTATAAAACATCATGTACCACTCTCCGGATGTTTATAAAAAATCATGTGCCACTCTCCAGATGTTTATAAAAAATCATGTACCACTGTCCAGATGTTTATAAAAAATCATGTGCCACTTTCCAAGGTGACTAATTTCACAGCTTCTGTCTTCAAACCTTTAACCACTTTCCTCTCCCTTCTTTACACACCTTGTGTATGGCCTTCCATTACATTCTGCTGAGAACATAGAAGCAATTAAAATTATGTTCTTACCTTTCTACCAGCAAGTGTACCAATTTGCTTATATCTTCACCTGTGCTTTGAGACTACTAAAATAGATGAATGGTCCCCTACCTCTAGCAAAGACCAGTCCCTCACTTGTGGGCTGGATCCCAGCTCCTCTCACCTACTCAAGATGTTCCTGCTTTCATCTCTCCACTCTCTTGTATAATCAGTTTCCCCCCTATTTTTTTTTTTTTTTTGGTAATATACCTATAAGCAGAAAAATAAGCTTTTTAACTCCAGTGATTAAAAAGAAAAATCCTCTCTTAATTCCATGAAACTCCAGCTGCCTCCCCATTTTTATTTTTTCCTTAGGATTGTCTCTAGTGTGCCTTCTCCTTTTCTTGAACTCCGCCTCCTGGGTTCAAGCGATTCTTCTGCCTCAGCCTCCCGAGTAGCTGGGATTACAGGTGCGTGCCACCACGACTGGATAATTTTTTCTTTTTTTTGAGATGGAGTTTCCCTTTTGTTGCCCAGGCTGGAGTGCAATGGCGTGATCTCGGCTCACTGCAACTTCTGCCTCCCGGGTTCAAGCGATTCTCTTGCCTCAGCCTCCCGAGTAGCTGGGTTTACAGGCATGAGCCACCACGCCTGGCTAATTTTGTATTTTTAGTAGAGACGGAAGGGGTTTCTCCGTGTTGGTTAGGCTGGTCTCGAACTCCTGACCTCAGGTGATCTGCCACCTCAGCCTCCCAAAGTGCTGGGATTACAGGCATGAGCCACTGCGCCTGGCCCCTGGCTAAATGTTTTTTTTTTTTTTTATATTTTTCGTAGAGACAGGGTTTCACCATATTGGCCAGGTTGGTCTCGAATTCCTGGCCTCAGGTGATCTACCTGCCTCGGCCTCCTGAAGTGCTGGGATTACAGGCATGAGCCACTGTGCCTAACCATCTTTTAGTAATGGTATTTAGAGATCACAATTTGAGTGCTGGCATGCTTGTTGCTACTGGGTTTGTTACGTAGTTATTGTGAATTCACATTTAGGAATATAGAGTTTTTAATTCTTTGATTTTAGATACTTGTATCTTTTTTCTTTTATAGTTAAAACCTTGGTTCCTAATGATATCCCTTCTTAAAAACCCTGTCTGCCCTTGACCTCCAGCCCACCATGCTGTGGTTTTCCTAACTTCTTATCTGCATCTTTCAGATCCCTTTCATGGATCTTAAGTATATCTCTAAATAAGATCTGTGTGTCAGTAATTACCAAACTTTTATCTTCAGTCTTGACATCTACCCTGAACACCTAGCTTTGACTAACTCCTAGCTTTGGCATCTCCACTTTGAAGTCCAAAAAGCATTTCAAACTGAACATGTCTATGAAAGACTTTTTTTTTTTCTATCCATGCTATCTATCAGGTTTTCCATTTCCATAAGGGTGACTCTTCTTGTATTCTGGTTCCTATATATTATACTGATAGAGCCACTCAGAGTGCTTCTTAACCAGTGTAATGCCTGTTATGTCCCACCCTCACTCCTTGTCTTTCAGTGGCTTCCCAGCACACTTAGAATAAAATCTGAAGTCTTAGGCTGAGCGTGGTGGCTCATGCCTGTAATCCCAGCACTTTGGGAGGATGAAGGGCAGATCACTTGAGGTCAGGAGTTTGAGACCAGCCTAGCCAACATGATGATACCCTGTCTCTACCAAAAAAATACAAAAATTAACGGCGTGATGTTGTGCACCTGTAGTCCCAGCTACTTGGGAGGTTGAGATAGGAGAATCACTTGATCCCAGGAGGCAGAGGTTACAGTGAGCCAAGATCATACCACTGCACTCCAGCCTGGGTGACAGAACAAGACTCCCAAAAAAAAAAAAAAAATTGAAAAGTAAAATAAAATCTGAAGTCTTGAATAAAACCCAAGATCTTTACCATGACCCCTGAACAGGGCAGAGTATCCATTCTTCAGACACTCTTCATAGAATACCATGGTGAGCTGGCATATTTATTGTACGATATAGAAACAGTTTTACTGGCAGAAAACACATTAAACCATTTGAACTCTGAATACAGTTGTCCTCATAAAAAATGTTCATTGTACTATTTTGAGGTTTTCCATTAATACTTCTTATAATCTTTGTCCCATTATGTGTTAATTCTAACAAAGGATATCCAATAACACCAGAGTTTAAGAAAAATGTGCCAGGTGCGGTGGCTCACACCTGTAATCTCAGCACTTTGGGAGGCTGAGGTGGGCAGATCACCTGAGGTCAGGAGTTTGAGACCAGCCTGGCCAACATGGTGAAACCCCGTCTCTCCTAAAAATACAAACATTAACCAGGCGTGGTGGCGGGTGCCTGTAATCCCAGCTACTCAGGAGGCTGAGGCAGGAGAATCGCTTGAACCTCCTGGGAGGCAGAGGTTACAATGAGCTGAGATTGCACCACTGCACTTCAGCCTGGGTGACAGAGTGAGACTCCATCTCAAATAAAAAAATAATAATAATAATTAATAATAGAAAAACTTAAATTAATTAGATTGTTTTAGGTATAGCCCACTCTTAGTTTTTGTGTGTAGCATCTAGCTTGGGGAAACCCTGGATTTCTGGAATCATATTTATACACAGTCACACTAGACTAATGTAATTCTTTTGGGATGCAAACCACACGTTTGACACCTTAAATAGCTTTTAGGTATTTGGCTTCTCAGCTCCTATTTTTAGTTACAAGGGGTGTACATGTGTGGGTCAGGGTAGCTCTTTCCACAGATGATTAGTTTTAGCCATGTTACTAGTTATTGCACACATTATCTGACTGTGTCCTCAAAACAGCCCTGTGAGTGTATTAGTCAGGGTTCTCTAGAGGGACGGAACTAATAAGATAGATGTATATATGAAGGGTAATGTACTAAGGAATATTGACTCATATGATCACAAGGTGAAGTCCCACAATAGGCTGTCTGCAAGCTGAGGAACCAGGAAGCCTGTCCAAGTCCCAAAACCTCAAAAGTAGGGAAGCTGACAGTGCAGCCTTCAGTCTGTGGCCAAAGGCCCAAGAGCCCCTGGCAAACCGCTGGTGTAAGTTCAAGAGTCCAAAAGATGAAGAACTTGGAGTCTGATATTTGAGGGCAGGAAGCATCCAGCATGGGAGAAAGGTGAAGGCTCAGCAAGTCTGGTCCTTCCACACTCTTATTTCTGCCTGATTTATTCTAGCCGAGCTGGCAGCTGATTAGATGGTGACCACCCAGATTGAGGGTGGGTCTGCCTCTCCCAGTTCACTGGCTTAAATGTTAATCTCCTTTGGAAACACCCTCACAGACACACCCAGAAACAATAATTTGTAGCCTTCAATCCAATCATGTTGATAATATTAACCATCACAGGAAGGTACCAGTATCATTATGTTTAACAGTAGAAACCAAGACAAATGCAGCTAGGAAGTGGGAGAACTGGGATCAGATGCAGGCAGTCTGATTCTCAATCAGTTGCTCTTACCGACTCCTTTACTCTCTCTCATACCAGTGAGTGAGTAGCCTGCTCATTCAAGTGCTATATTAGTAGGGCCCTTTACAGACATTTACTTCGCACAGTCACTCAGTGAGACGGCTATTCCAGTCTTACAGTGGAGAAAGTGAGGCTCAGAGATTTTAAGTAACTTATCCTAGATGACTTTACTAGTAAGTATAAGAATCATTATTTGAACTAAAATCTTTCTGAATCCTCAGCTTGTATTTTTTTCCAGTGTACTGTGCTGCCTCTTTACTAGCATTTTACATCAATTTTGAATCTCTTTACTAGCTGTTTAGGTTGATTTTTGCCTTTTTGTTTTAGGTTATTCTATATTTGTTGTTAAGGGTGACCTGCCAGATTGCGAAGCTGACCAACTCCTGCAGATGATCAGGGTCCAACAGATGCACCGACCAAAACTTATTGGAGAAGAATTAGCACAACTGAAAGAGCAAAGGTAAAAATGAGGCCTGCAGTATGGAACACATGACGGTATTTCATTATGAGAATTAAATTTTCATGCTTACATTGAATATGTGGTCCTTGTGTTGTCGGCACCTCTATTTTGGATCTTACATTTTAGTGAAGTTTATTAGTTCGAACTTGAATCAACTCTTTGAAATACTTAAATATATTAACTAAGTTAGCAGGTATGGTGTATTCCTAGCACTTCAGGAGGCTGAGGCAGGCTGATTGCTTCAACCCAGGAGTTTGAGACCAGCCTGGGCAACATGGCAAAACCTCACCTCTACAAATAGTACAAAAATTAGCCAGACGTGGTGGTGCGTGTCTGTAGTCCCAGCTACTTGGGAGGCAGAGGAGGAAGGATCACCCAAAACTGGGGAGGTGGAGACTACAGTGAGCCACAATCACACCACCGCACTCCAGCCTGGGCAAGAGAGTCAGACCCTGTCTCAAAAAAACGGAGAAAAAAAACTTAGTTGGATTCAAATTACAACACAATCATTATATTACTAGAGCTTATTTGCCAGAAAACGTTTTAAGTTTTGGCTTACGTAAAGCCTTTACATGACAAATGCCTTTATGTTATGTCTAAAATAGAAGATTGGTTGCAGTTACTACCAGTGCTTTTGTTCTTTAGAGTCCATAAAACAGACCTGGAACGAGTGTTAGAAGCAAATGATGGCTCAGGAATGTTAGATGAAGATGAGGAGGATTTGCAGAGGGCTCTGGCACTAAGTCGCCAAGAAATTGACATGGAAGATGAGGAAGCAGATCTCCGCAGGGCTATTCAGCTAAGTATGCAAGGTAAAGACATTCTGATGTGTGTTGTATTCATTGCTGAAGAATTGATTCCAATTATTCTTAGGTTTCCTGGAAGTTAATGTACTCTTAGAAGTGTTTTGACAATTACTGCAGAAGCAATAGCTATATAGTGGGCTTTCCCTTTAGATTACTTATAATGGAAATAACTTTTTACAACCTATATTTTATTAGGAGTAGTTATATTTTTACTCCTGGTTATTTATTTGGTTTCAATAACCTGTACTAACACAGTAGTCAATTGTGGTGTTAATCTTTGTGGGTATCAGTTGACCCTTACCCAAATCAGCTCTTTCATAAATGTATGTCATTAGACACTATGGAAGGGCCTGGACAGGGGATATAAACTGATTATACAAAAAGCCAATATAAACTGATTATACAAAAAGCCAACATTTATTGGCTATGCAACTTAAACCTTAAGCCCACTTTGGTGGGCCCAGTTTTTTAGTGATATAAACTATCAATTTCAAAAGCGAAAACATATCCCCTATACAGTCTAGGCAAAGAAAAATGTTAAGACATAGCTCGAAGTTGCTTAATTAAAAGTTTGAAGTGGGTTTTTTATTTTTCTCTAACTTATGTGTATTTGCTTCTACTTTCTAATGAAATTATTTATCAATTGATTTCCTTAGATATCCAGATAAAATTGAGATTCCATTAATGGGAAGATTATTTTCATCCTGAACTTTTCTTGCCTCTAGGCACACCTCTGAGTACTCCATATGGTGTGCAATCCCATTTTTGATTAATAGAGTCCTGCTGGATTAGCAGGGACAGAAATCAGCTTTAGATTTCTTTTGTTTTTTTGAATTAAGAGTCTCACTGTCGCCCAGCCTGGAGTGCAACGATCTTGGCTCACTGCAACCTCTGCCTTCCGGGTTCAAGCGATTCTCCTGCCTCAGCCTCTTGAGTAACTGGGACTACAGGCACCTACCACCATGCCTGGCTAATTTTTTGTACTTTTAGTAGAGATATGGTTTTGCCCTGTTGGCCAGGCTGGTCTTGAACTCCTCACCTCAGGTGATCCACCGGCCTTGGCCTCCCAAAGTGCTGGGATTACATGTGTGAGCCACGACGCCCAGCCAGAAGAGTAGAATATTCTTCAAGAAAAAACGTTTTAAAAGCTTACTCAAATGAGTATAAACAAATGTATTGTTGCTTGAATTGGTAAATACAGTGATTGGTTTTTGTTCTGTTGTGTTTTGTTTTCAGGTAGTTCCAGAAATATATCTCAAGATATTCCACAGACATCAGGTACAAATCTTACTTCAGAAGAGCTTCGGAAGAGACGAGAAGCCTACTTTGAAAAGTAAAGTAGTTGGTACAAATTAAAGTAGCACGTTTAATATTTGCTTTGGCTATTTTGTCTGTTTGTAAATGGTTACTGCCTGAATCCTATGAATATTTGAATGCATATTTAAAAAATTTACAGCAAATAGGACAGGCACGGTGGCTTACGCCTGTGATCCTAGCACTTTGGGAGGCCAAGGTGAGCAGATTGCCTGAGGTCAGGAGTTCGAGACCAGCCCAGGCAACACAGTAAAACTCCATCTCTACTAAAAAATACAAAAAAATTAGCCGGGCGTGGCAGTGTGCGCCTGTAGTCCCAGCTGCTTGGGAGGCTGAGCCAGGAGAATTGCTTGAACCCAGCAGGTGGAGGTTGCAGTGAGCCGAGATCGCACCACTGCACTCCAGACTGGTTGATACAGTGAGACTGTCTCCAAAAATATATGTGTGTATATATAAATAAAAATAAAAATTTACAGCAAATAACATGAAGCAAAATGTAGTTTTAATGAAAAAGTTTGCCTCAATATTGGATAAATTTTTGAAACTGAGTGAAGGAAACCTTGTACAATTTCATTTATTAAAAGAAAAATGAAATTAGGACAAGGCAAGAAGAATACCTATTGATCCTTTGGATGTGCTTCTTGCTTACCTGATTAACCCTGCAAAATTTCTCTACCAATCAGTAAGAAAAACAGCTTTTGAGGTATGGGAGCACATTCCCAAATAGACGTGGGTAGTTCATTTAGCTGCTCATGGCTGCTGCAGGGGGTCCTGTAGGCCTGTTAGCATCAGGAGAATGGATGCAAACCATAAATCTGGATCAACTCCTAAAACTTTACCTTGTGCCCAGCCTTGTAAGTGCTTGCTAAATAGGAATTCCACTGTATGAAAATACATTCTTTTCAAGTAACTATCATTCAGACTTTTGTCCCCCACTTTTTTAAAAAAAGAAAAATAAAAGGCTGGGCACAGTGGCTTATGCCTGTAATCCCACCATTTTGGGGGGCCAAGGCGGGTTTTTGGGAGTGAGTTTTTGGGAGGCAGGAGAATCGCTTGAACCCGGGAGGCGGAGGTTGTGGTGAGCTGAGATTGCGCCATTGCTCTCCAGCCTGGGCAACAAGAGCGAGACCTCGTCTCAAAAAAAAAAAAAAAACAAAAAATAGCTGGGCGTGGTGGTGGGTGTCTATAATCCCAGCTACTCGGGAGGCTGAGGCAGGAGAATCGCTTGAATCCGGGACGCAGAAGTTGCAGTGAGCTGAGATTGTGCCACTGCACTCCAGCCTGGGGACAAGAGCGAGACCTCGTCTCAAAAAAAAAAAGAAAAAGAAAACTCCATGTTAAAAATTACAAGATAAATAATCAGACCCGCTGATCCTAGGTCAGAAAACAAAAGACTCATAGCTGAATCTGACCTGCCATTGCTGTATTTCATCCATTCTAAGATGCACATAGTTTCACATTTCAATGTCTCTGAAATTGAGAAGTATCTTACAATCATAATTGACAGTATATTAGCAGCACCTAAAAATATTGGCTCATTTTACATTTGATGGTATAATGAAGAAAATATTTACCTTTTTTTCTGTTTTGTTTTTAAGTCACAACTCAGAAGTAGATGAAGGAAAATTCTGATCAGCTGACATCCTCTTAATGTGAGGTATTTCTAGTCTTTATTCAGCATAGATTAATGGCTAATTATATGTTAAATTTCAAAGTAGTGCTTATTAGTGCTTTTTACTTTTAAGTTTCAAAATTAACTTTTTTATTAAACTCCAAATTTATACAAAAGTAGAAAAACTAGCATAATGAACTCTTGTTTATCACCCAGATTCAACAAATACTAGCACACGGCCAATCCTGCTTTTTTTTTTTTTTTTTTTTTTTGAGGTGGAGTCTTGCTCTGTTGCCCAGGCTGGAGTGCATTGGCACAATTTCTGCTCACTGCAACCTCTGCCTCCTGGGTTCAGGCAATTCTCCCACTTCAGCCTCCCACGTAGCTGGGATTACAGGTGCACACCACCATGCCCAGCTAATTCTTATATTTTTAGTAGACACAGGGTTTCACCATGTTGCCCAGGCTGGTCTTAAACTCCTGACCTCAAGTGATCCACCTGCCTCGGCCTCCCAAAGTGCTGGGATTACAGGCATGAGCCACTGCACCTGGCCCAGTCTCGTTTTATAATACTCCCATCTCCCATTCTTTCCACTGTCCCACCTACAAGTTTGGATTATTTTGTAACAAATCTCAATCATCATATCATTTGTTCTATAACCATTTTAATATATGTCTCTAAAATATATGAACTTTTTTTAACATAGTTAAATGCTATTGTCATAAAATAATCATGATAATTAATTGTAATTCTATATCACCAATTATCTAGTTAATGTAAAAAATAACTTAAATCTAAGGCCAGGTGCGGTGGCTCACACCTGTAATCCCAGCACTTTGGGAGGCGGAGGCGGGCGAATCACCTGAGGTCAGGAGTTCAAGACCAGCCTGACCAACATGGAGAAACCCCATCTCTACTAAAAACACAAAAAAATAGCCGGGCGTGGTGGCGCATGCCTGTAATCCCAGCTAGTTGGGAGGCTGAGGCAGGAGAATCAGGGAGACAGAGGTTGTGGTGAGCTGAGATCTTGCCACTGCACTCTAGCCTTGGCAAAAAGAGTGAAACTCTGTCTCAAATAAATAAATAAATAATAAAAAAATAACTTAAATCTACTTAATTAGAAAAACTAATATTCTGGAAATTTTATTTTAAGAAATACCTAAATTGGCCGGGCACGATGGCTCACAGCTCTAATCCCAGCACTTTGGGAGGCTGAGGCGAGCAGATCACCTGAGGTCAGAAGGGTCAGGAGTTGAAGACCAGCCTGGCCAATGTGGCGAAACACCGTCGCCACTAAAAATACAAAAATTAGCTGGGCATGATGGCGAGCCCCTGTAATCCCAGCTACTCAGGAGGCTGAAACAGGAGAATCGCTTGAACCCAGGAGGTGGAGGTTGCAGTGAGCTGAGATCACCCCACTGCACTCCAGCCTGGATGACAGAGTGAAACTCTATCTCAAAAAAACAAACAAAAAAAAGAAATAGCAAAATTAAAAGAAAGCATACATGGCCAGGTGTAGTGGCTCATGTCTGTAATCCCAGCACTTTTGGAGGCTGAGGCAAGCAGATCATTTGAGGCCATGAGTTCAATACCAGCCTGGCCAACATGGCAAAAGCCCGTCTCTCCTAAAAATACAAAAAAATTAGTCGGGCATGGCGGCGCACACCTGTAATTGCAGCTACTTTGGAGGCTGAGGCAGGAGAATTGTTTGAACCCAGAGGTGGAGGTTACAGTGAGCCGAGATTGTGCCACTGCACTCTATCCTGGGTGACAGAGCGAGACTCTCTCAAAAAGTAAAAAAGGGGCCGGGTGCAGTGGCTCACTCCTGCAATCCCAGCACTTTGGGAGGCCAAGGCAGGCAGATCACAAGGTCAGGAGATGGAGACCATCCTGGCTAACACAGTGAAACCCCGTCTCTACTAAAAAATACAAAAAAAATTAGCTGGGTGTGATGGCAGGCGCCTGTAGTCCCAGCTACTTGGGAGGCTGAGGCAGGAGAATGGCGTGAACCCAGGAGGCGGAGCTTACATTGAGCAGAGATCATAGCGAGGCTCTGTCTCAAAAAAAAAAAAAAAACAACCGTCACCTCCTTCAGTAACTGATGTTAGTATTTTGGCACATTCTCTTTCTGTGACTTATACACACTTACCTTGTGTACGCATTTCCTATGACAGTAAATAGTCTTTGTAACAGGCTGCATGATATTTCATAAAATGAATGGATGTGGCATAATTTATATATGTGCCTTTTGAATTCTGCTATTATAATTAATATTGCAATGAACAATTCTTATATTGCCTCTATGCCTCAAATGTCTCATCATTTCTTCTTTTTTCTGAGGATGTCAAGATTACTGGGTTAAAGGGTATGAATATTTTTAAGACCTTGGTACAGATTTCTAAATTGCTTTCCAGAATAATTCCCATGTGATACTTTCATCATGTTTATTTCAGACTTTCTTTTTCCTTTTTTGAGACGAAATCTCACTCTGTCACCCAGGCTGGCGTGTAGTGGCACAATCTCGGCTCACTGCAACCTCCGCCCTCTGAGTTTAAGCGATTCTTCTCCTTCAGCCTCCCAAGTAGCTGGGATCACAGACAAGTGCCACCATGCCCGGCTAATTTTCGTGTTTTTTGTAGAGATGGGGTTTCACCATGTTACCCAGGCTGGTTTCGAACTCCTGAGCTCAGGCAATCTGCCCACCTCGGCCTCCCAAAGTTCTGGGATTACAGGCGTGTGCCACCACACCCGGCCATCAGACTTTTTTTTATGCCATTTTTTGCCATATAATGGTCTAAAGACATACATCATATAGAAACTATAATACAAAATTTATAGGTATATCTAAGAAAATGAAAGTATATTTAAAGCATAAAAATAAACCCCTCTTTTACTTAAAATTTTTAAAAAATTGGATTAAAAATATGAAACTTCCAACAAATTGAACTTTTTTTTTTTTTTCTTTTTTGAGACAGGGTCTTGCTTTTGTCACCCAGACTGGAGTGCAGTGGCGTGATCTTGGCTCACTGCAACCTCCACCTCCCTGGTTCAAGCAATTCCCCTGCCTCAGCCTCCCAAGTAGCTGGGATTACAGGCGCATGTCACCACGCCCGGCTAATTTTTTTTGTATTTTTAGTAGAGACAGGGTTTCACCATGTTGGCCAGACTGGGCTCGAACTCCTGACCTCAGGCAATTTGCCTGCCTGGGCCTCCCAGCGTGCTGGGATTACAGGCGTGAGCCACTGCACCCAGCCTGAATGTTTTATAGTAGTAAAGATAATTCAGTAATGCCCAATAATGACTAAGTAAGTTACAACAAGAACAATGTCAGCAATAACTAGTGCTTTTTAGTAAACAGGGTCAGGCAACCTTGTACCCTTTAAAAATGTTCAAATCTCGATATACC